GGTAACAGCTGGATATTCTGCCCTGTGAACTGGAATCAGGTCACCTTCCCAGGAGTCCTCCTTTTTCATAGTGGAGAATTGGAACATAGACCAAAATCTGGGCACTAGGAGTATAAGTGAAAGTTAGTAGTGGATCAAAAGGCTATACTATTTGGTGGTTGGAAAAAACATGCCTTATTGAGGTTATGGGTTCCCATTAATTTTTTCCAACTGGACATATCATGCTTCTGCCCTCAGATTTCCTTATAGTATGAGGTTTTATCTGTCATCAAGACGTTCTGCGCCACTGACCGTAACTGTTTTGTTGTGGGAAGAAAGACAGAGTCTATTTGGGGAGGGGAGAGGTTTGTTCAGATTGCTGACAGGTTGATAGAAGGATTCAGGGGAAGACTGAGCACCAGGGAGTAGTGCCAGTGTGTAATCTGGTTTCTAGAACCTTCTTTCATTGCCAGGACTCCAGTCTGCTCACTCTTCTCCTCAGGTACCCTGAACAGGTCAATGATTTTATTCCATGAGCTGCCAGAAATGGCAGCTTTCTGGGGAAATGAGTACGATTCTTACTTTTTACCTTGCCTGTGTCCTTCTCTTGACTAAACTCTGCTCTTTCCTCTTTGGGGTCTTCAGGGTGAGTTGCCCCAGAAGCTCCTGAGGTCAGACACAAGGCCGCTTTCTCCTATTTTTCAGAAGGGCCTGGATTCTGCTTTTTGGTTGTGCTGGTGGTTAACAGAGATGGCCAGGTCATGTTTAAGTTGTTTGTCTCAGAGATTGGAAACTTGAAACGTTTCCAGAATAGTCACTTTGCCCTGCGTGGAAAACTCAAGTATAGATTACTTTCCTGGAGGAAGATGCATACGTGAAGCCGGTGCCGATACTGGTATTACTCACATACACCCCGAGCGAAGTGGAGGCCAGCATAAACTATGTATCAGCTTAATTACGTGCAGAACTTGCTCCTGGGCTTTGTCATGCTGCTGGAGGTACACCGGGCAGAACACTCTCCATGGGTAGGCATTTACTGACACCGGTCACAGAATCATCACTTGTTTTCCCCTGGATCTGATATAGTGGATCAAATTCGGAAAGTGGTATCTGCAGCATGTTCCTAAGAACATTCTGCTCAAATGGCAGAGTGCTTCAAGCAGTTTCAGTAAAGTGAGTGTATTAGTTTTCCATTGCTGTGTTACACGTTACCGCAGACTTACCAGGTTATGCTCTCAGTTTCCGTAGGTTAGAAGTTTAGGCATGGCATAAGCTGGTTGCTCTGCCTTAGGTCTTATTGGGCTGAAATCAAGGTATTGGGTGTGGTTGTGGATCTCACCTGGGGCTCAGGATTTTCTTACATGCTCGCTAGTTGTTGGCAGAACTTGTTTTCTTGTGGTTGTATTACCGTGGCCCCCATTTTTCTGCTGGCTGTCATCCAGTGACCACTCTCAGCGCTTGGAGGCTGCCCCACAGATTGTGCCATGCAATGTTTGCTCTCTCACAAGCTAGCCAGATCACATCTCTCTTTTCTGTGACTAGCAGGAGAAAATTCGCTGCTTTTGGAGGGTTTTCCTGATTAGATCAGGCCCTCCCAGGATAATCTATTTGCTCTATCACATAACATATTCCTGGTGACATTTGTCATTTATCCCCTGCTAATATTTTGTGCTATGGCTGTGTTGGTGTACAAGTACTACAACTTTATGTTTTATAGTAAAACTAGAGCCCATCGCAGGAAGATTCCTGCAAGAACAGAGCTTCCTACGGCTGGAGCAAAGCAGAGAAGGGAGTGAAACCCACTGAGGCGGGCTTCGCTCCCATCTCCGCCGCCCGGCTTCTTTCGCCCCTGCCTCCCTCAGCTGCCTGGCTTGTTTTGCTCCTGCCTCCGCCTCCCGGCTTGTTTTCGGCCGCCTGCCTTGCTACGCTCCCTGCTGGTATATGCAAATTAACCGTCATCTTTGTTGGCGGTTAATTTGCATATCACGCTGATTAGCCAATGGGAGGTGTAGCGAAGGTACGGTCAATTACCATGTTTGTCTATTACTAGATAGGATTTTCCCCATGTACCTAGAAAAAATTTCCCCATATATTTTCCTATAAATATAGAAAAAAAGAGTATTCTATCGAGTAAAGCCTCTTTTACTAAGATAGTTCAAAGACCTCAGATAATAAGTAGAATGTAGGGTTGAATAGAATGTACTGTATTTTTCTTAGCAAAATTAAGAGATATTTTTGTGGGATTTATGCTTCCTGGTGCTTCTTTTAAGGATAGAGTTGGAGTCCAAACATGGTCACCATTTCTCCATTATTTATGTATCAATTCAATCCCCATTTATATCTTTTTATATCATCATTCTGTACACATCTGTCATCCCATTTGTTTTATATAAACATCTGTAAATCTTCTTTTAAATGAAGTAAGAAACAATATTTTCTGGCTGAAATGTAGAGATTAGCTTCTTTCTGAAAGTGTCACAGTAAATTGAAGATCCATGAATTGGTTCCTGTGCTTGTTTTTTTATCCTTTAATATTTGCTTCTTTCAGCCATGTTTTGTAGTTTCTGTCTATAGATCTTGCATGTATTTTGTCAGATTTATCACAAAATATTTTATGTTGTTTGAAGCTGTTATAAATTGATTTTTAAATTTAAATTTCTGATTGTTGCTACTATGTAGAAATACAAATGATTTTTGCATGTTGATTTTATATCTTGCAACCTTGACAAACTTATTAATTCTAGTGGCCTCTTTTTTGGTAGATTTCTTTGGATTTTCTACATAGACTATAGTGGTTTTCTGTGAATAAAGTTGGTTTTATTTGTTCCTTTCCAATGTGAATGCTTTTTATTTCCTTTTCTTGCTTTGTGGCATTGTCTAGAACTTATACAATGTTGAATCAAAGTGATGAGAGTGGACATCCTTGATTTGTTCCTATAAAAGATATGATGTCCTTCTCATTTGACTTAATTAGAATCCAACTTGTGCATAATAGTTGAGACATATTCTTACGACAGAGTTGATGCTGAATAACACAGAATTTGGTGTGTTTTTTCCTGTATATTTCATTGTGTTCTACATTTATGTTTTTATCTGACTGCACGTACATCTATATCTATCGATATCTATTCATACACCTGGATACATTAATTCCCGTATGAAATCATCCTATATATATATTACTCAGACACTATAGTTTTACTTTAACAAATATAGGATTATCTGAATTATCTTCTGTTTTCCTGCCTTGTAAAATAGGGATGCAGTAACTTCACAAGAAGAAAAATCTTTAAAAGCAAATTCAGAGTTATGTTTTCTCTAGAGAGAATAATAAAGCTACCCAGCTTCTCAGACAAGCTAGAGGCCATAAAGTTATTGAGTAACAACAACAAAATCTCCAGAGTATAGGGAGAATGAAAGAGTTAGAACATAAAGTAGAAAACAAGGAGCAAAAGTCAGAGAGACTAAAATAAGATGAGAGAGTGGGGGAGGTGTGTAGAAAGAGGGGTTGGAGAAATTGGGAAGGGAATAGGGCTCTGGCGGAGTAATATGAGCCAAATCTTGTAATGTATTAGACAGTGTTTTTCTTTTACAGTATTATTCCTTTTTACCCATTAGTTTTGCTATTTAAAAAATGTTAACTTTTAATTTTTCAACATCTCTGGCCATATTAAGGTTTTACTATACCCCATTCAAGTTGGGAGATGAAGTCAAGATGGGGGCAGATTTCAAACACACATATTCAAGCATAAAACTTTTGAAAAACATAATGATCTTTTTCTGTATCTTGTGTTAGCTGCTTCCATGATGACCCACGAGTTAATATAATGATCTGATTTAGCTCAGCTGTTGTTTTCTTTTTATTAAGGCAAGTCTATCCAACTGTTTTTTAAAAATATATATTTTTATTGATTTCAGAGAGGAAGGGAGAGGGAGAGAAACATCAATGATGAGAGAGAATCATTGACTGGCTGCCTCCTGCACTCCCCCTACTGTGGATGAGCCCACAACCCTGGGCTCTGAATCGAACCTTGACCTCCTGGTTCATAGGTTGATGCTCAGCCACTGAGCAACATCGACTGGGCTATCCAACTCTTAATGATTCATAAATAATCCCACTAGTAGTCAGAGTAAAACCGGGGACAGAGTTCAAGAACCACCTTGGGGCAGTAAGAGTCTAGGCCAGCCGTGGGCAAACTATGGCCCGCGGATCCGGCCTGTTTGAAATGAATAAAACTATTGAAAAAAAAGACCGTACCCTTTTATGTAATGATGTTTACTTTGAATTTATATTAGTTCACACAAACACTCCATCCATGCTTTTGTTCTGGCCCTCTGGTCCAGTTTAAGAACCCATTGTGGCCCTCGAGTCAAAAAGTTTGCCCACCCCTCGTCTAGGCCTTACGAAAACCTGTTTTAGGGGTCAGATTCTACTGTCAGCCTTGAGTATAAGCAGAGTGATTATGAGGAATTTTTCACATTGTAATTTAAGCTGGTGTAGTGTTAGAATGTGGCCTTTTTAGGTCTCTCCCAAAATTAAAAGTGGCATGCTTTTTGGAATAACAAATCAGCATTGTGTTTTTTTTTTGGTGTGTGTTTTTTTAAAGATTCTTATAGACACTTTAATTTTGTTCTACATCAATCAGTCATCCATGTGGATAAAACTCTATTGTATGACAGCCACACCTGGTCAATATAATTTACTCAAAAATTAAAACATATAGTCCATTTTACTAAATTATGTTTTTCTGCAAAAAGCCATGCTGCTGTGTTAAAGTTAGTTGATTATTTATCTTCTAGACTGAAAAGAAAATTTTAAAAAACGTATTTTTCTTCTTTATTGATTTTATTGGGGTGACATTGGTTAATCAAATGATATCGTTTTCAGGCATATAGTTCTACAATACATTATCTGTATATTGTATTGTGTGTTCACGATCCCAAGTTAATTCAGCATATTTTTGATATTAAAGTCCCAGAGGAGAGTTATGGGTTTAATTTCTTTTTTCTTTTTCCCCCAGATATGTGTCACAAAGATGTCTACACGGAACTGCCAGGGAATGGACTCAGTGATCAAACCCCTGGACACAATTCCTGAGGATAAGAAAGTCAGGGTCCAGAGGACACAGAGCACTTTTGACCCATTTGAGAAACCGACTAATCAAGTAAAGAGGGTGCACTCGGAGAACAATGCTTGCATTAACTTTAAGACCTCCTCCACTGGCAAAGAGTCTCCTAAAGTTAGGCGGCACTCCAGCCCCAGCTCGGTAAGTGCAGTCTTTTATCAGAGGGTAAACCGAAGGAGTAGCCCTCTTAGGAGAGTAGCACGCTGTGCTGGAAGAGCGCAGGTGGCTTCATCAGTGCATTTTGATGCATTCTCTCTCAGGGTTTGATGTCTTGGCAAGGAGAGAGTGTGCTCCAGCAAACTGTACACAGACTCTTTATTCATAAGCACCCAGCAAGCAAATGAGAAATGGTTCAACTTATTTTTGGAAAAATAATTTTTTCTTGTTGTTTTCAGTTAGAAGAATTTACAATTAAAAATCCTTTGATATGTCAGACCCTTGGAGAGGATATTGAACTTTGCTGTGTGGGCAGCAAGTACAGTTTTGAATTTGGCAAGTCCACAAAGAATGTAATTTCAGAATAAATGTTAACATTTATCCACTTGTCTCAGTCCAGTTTGTTTTCAGTGTAAAGATTTTAAAATTTAAGGGCTAGACATTGAATCTTCTTAACGAGAAATCTTTTTATTATAATAGAATTTTCTAAACTCAAACTATATCAAGTTTTGCCTTTTGACCTAAGGAGGAATAAATATCTGAGGTGATTTCTGCTTTTGACTGTAAAATTTTTCTACTGAAACTCATATTTCCAAGACTAGCCCGCATTAACATTGTAAAAAATCCTTATATTTTAAATTAAGCAATTTTTAGATTTAACTTACATTTAAAAACCTTTTGAATAGATGCTCTTAAAAGGTAAGAGGAGAACGCCAAGAGAACTTTGACTCTTCCTCTTGCTGAGAAACACATGCCATTTCACAAATTTTAAATATTAAATTCCACGAGAGCCGAAACAGAGCAAGAAATGTCAATTGCTAGAAGAGTATTGACACTTCAATTTAATTACGCTGTATGACACCGCACAAACTTTGTGTCACATTTTGTGTGAATGAAGCTGAAATAAATGTTATTCACGCAACATTTGTGAGCATAATTGATTATCTGCTTTTACCCAGACTAGCCCCGTCATCTTGTGATTGTGAGGCAGCTTCCATGTAGGCCACAGAAATATATTCCTGACTTCCAGGAGAACTTTTAGACTTAGTGTCATTTAGGAGAAATGAAAGGAGTTGTAAATGATTAAGCCTGTGTTATGGAAAGAGAATTATATATACTTTATATTTATCTTAATATTATATTAACTTATAAATGGTATATAGAAATGGCACTTTCAAATACTAGTCAGGCATACTTACACTAAAAATTATTTACTATTTAAACGAAATTTACATTTAGCTAGTCCTGTTTTTTATCTGCAATACTAGTTACAATCTAATGCTGTGCTATTTCTTTTGTTGCTCAAATTGTTCCTGCCTTGCCATTGGCAGCTCCGTGTCCTTTTGAGATGTCTTCATCCCTTTGTTTATTTTTTGAGTACTTCCTTGCTTTCTGGTCCTATGGGATAGTTTTGGCTTATATTGTACTTTCCAAGCCCCAGACCTAGATCAGTTATTTCTCTAAAGAGCCCTGGCTCCACTTATTGGAAAATGGTATATAGAAACCAGGATGTGGGCCTGGCCATGCTTGTTGATACGGGGGGGGGGGGGGGGGGGGGTGTCATGTAGTTTTAAAGATCAGTATATCATAGTATAAATAACAATGGGGTTTCAACATTTAATTTTAATTTTTTAAATAAGGAATTAATTAAAATCCTTATCAAAGAAAGTTGAAACTTGCCTGGTGCTCTCTGTATTTCTCTTTAAAGTTAGATTTTATTTTTATTAAAGTAATGCTTGAATGTAGTTTGAAAGATCAAGTAGGAGAGGATTCTGGGAGGTTAGGCAGTGACAGGTTTTGAAACTTCTTATCTAATTAGAGCAACTAGTATAGTAAAAACAGAACAATGGATAATATTGGCAACAAATACGTGGTGGGGCAAAAGTAGGTCTATAGTTGTTTGTATGGAAAATAATGCAATAAGTATTAATAATTCAAGAATGAACTCTCTGTTTTGCATGCTCACAACTGTAAGCCTGCTTTTATCCCACCCTGTATAGCAGAGAAGGTATCTCCATGAACCTCAGAATAGGAGCGAGGGGAACAAACGACGAACAGCTTTAAGAACTGTGTGGTACCTGAAAGTGGGGGAGGAAACTCAGGGAAGGCAAGGGGCAGGTAACTATGCTCAGAGCCGGGAAAACTCTACCTTGCCATCAGTGTGGCTTTCTGGCAGCTCCGTGGGCCATTCTTAGGACAGTGACAGCAACTGGCAGGGGACTTTGAAGCTCCTCTGAGTGGATGAGTGCAAGGAGACCATGGAGTGGTCTATTGGTATTGGAATGGTCTGCTGGTCTTTCTCCTGTGACTTCCCTAGACCAGCGATTTTTCATCTCATGGCACACACATAAACTAATTACTAAAATTCTGCTGCACATCCAAAAATATATTTTTTGCCAACCTGACATAAAAAGGTATACTTTTGATTCATTTACACCAGACTGTTGTTGTGTTAGCTGCTGTTGTTCTTTTTATTTGACAGTCTAAATAAAAAGAGGTCAGTACCCCTGACTAAATAGTCAGGTATTGTGTATTTTGAAAATTCTTGTGGCACACCTGTTGAAGGTCATTGCTCTAGGACAAAGTCCTGCATTGAATAGAAAGTGCTGGAGCATACTTCTGTGCAGGGTAGGTTCAGTAGGGGCAAAGAAAAGAGAAGATCCAGAAAGAAGTGTTGGAGAGAAACAGATGGGCGAAGATAGTATGTGCTAAATTGACTTTTTTTTTTAACTTCATGAAAATAAAGAAGTTTATTTCTTAAAACTAGGAAAGCTATCTGGACCACACTGCTCTATTCTTTTTTTCTATTTATTTATTTATTTATTTATTTGATTTTTTACAGAGAGGAAGGGAGAGGGACAGAGAGTCAGAAACATCGATGAGAGAGAAGCATCGATCAGCTGCTTCCTGCACACCTCCTACTGGGGATGTGCCCGCAACCACGGTACATGCCCTTGACCGGAATCGAACCTGGGACCTTTCAGTCCGCAGGCCGATGCTCTATCCACTGAGCCAAACCGGGTAGGGCTCTTTTTTTTCTATTTAAAAATATATTTTTATTGATTTCAGAGGGGGGGGGAGAGAGGGAGAGAGATAGAAACATCAATGATGAGAGAGAATCATTGATTGGCTGTCTCCTGCATGCCCCCCTACTGGGAATCAAGCCCACCACCCAGGCATGTGCTCTTGACTGGAATCGAATCCAGCACCCTTTAGTCTGCAGGCTGATGCTCTATCTGCTGAGCCAAACCAGCTAGTGCCACACCCCTCTATTCTTAAACAACAGAAAAATTAATGTTACTTAAAAATAATCAATAGAAAAATTACTGGTTGATTCCCATACAAAATTATGGGGTGGGGGTGGGGGGTTGGAGACTAAGGAGCCGAATAACATCCTTAGATATCATGAAAGCAAGCAAGTGGATTTTTAAAGGTATATCTGGAAAATCCAAAAGAATCAATGGAACTACTACAAAAAAAATGAGAGAAGTTACACAAGTAGCAAGTTATAAAATTAACATACAAAACCCAATACAGACTTTTATAAAAACTGTTGTAGCTCAACCAGTGTGGTTCAGTGGTTGAGCATCAACCTGTGAACCAGGAGGTCATGGTTTGGTTCCTGGTCAGGACACATGCCAGAGTTGTAGGCTTGATCCCTAGTGTGGGGTGTGCAGAAGGCAGCCGATCAATGATTCTCTCTCATTATTGATGTTTTCATCCCTCTCCCTTCCTCCCTGAAATCAATAAAAATATATTTTAAAAAACTGTATAGAAACTGTTATACATACCACATCTTCCTAACAGTGTGTACATCTCTATGCATGTTCACATGCTAGTCATTCTCTATGTCAGGAGTCATGACTGAAATCAAGGTGACTATAGTGAGCGTCACATTCATCTATACCTCCTGATACAGTTCAGATAGTGGCACTTTAAAATTCAGGCAAAATGTAAAGAATGTGATTTCATATAAATTGGTTTATTTCAAGAGGTGTTTGACAGATTTTGTTGGTTTGTTTCAGACATTTTATGAGTGCCTACCTTTCCTGGGCCTAGTCCCTGGGTAGTGGGTAGTGTTTAGTACTGTCACTGTCAGGATGGACTTTCCCTCCCCTGTTCCTGTCACCTCCTCCAGCCCAGCTGTGCCCTCCCATAGCTAAAACTGTTGGGAGAGCTGTAGGAGACTGCCTGCCCGTCTTGCTGGCCCAGTTTAGAAGGGATTTTATTGAGCTGTGCTGTCATCATCTGGACTTAAAGAGAACATAGTTTCAGATATTCAAATTCAGGTTACTGTCCTCTACACATTTCAAAAATTACTCAAAATTTACATGCTTCTATTACCAAAACAAAAACAAACAAAAACCCCTGTGATAGGCAGACCAATCTTCAGAGGGGGAGGGAGGTGCAAACTTGAAAATGAAAACTCCGCTTCAGTGCTCAATGGCCATCCTTGGGGGTCTCATCTGGGCACTGCCCTTCTTGTGGGGACTAGACAGTTCCCTGACAGAACCAAGCCCCCTGTCAGGTTGTCACCACACATGGTGCTTGGCTCTATCCCTCTGTCCAACATCTAGATCTACTTTGTAACCAAGTTACCCATCAAATATGGATTACCTTGGTGTGACTGTGTTTAATGGGGCTAGAAGTGCAGGATGATAGAGTCTGTTCTGGAGATCAAAGGCAGAAGAAAAATTAGCCAACATGGCGTTCACGTCAAATCCTGGTTGTTTAATGAGGTCACATAGTTCTGATGGAATCCTTCCCACCTTCTCCCCATACCTACTCTCATAATTATAGTATAATGTAATAGAGTGGTGATTCTTACTTGTGGTTTTCCTCATCAACATTCTTAATCAAGGGGTTATGAATAAGGTTACAATCTGTTTCAATGAATTCAGTATGAAACTATGGGCATTCTTATAGCCATGCCACAGTATCGTTACAGAGAACACAGAGGTATATTCATGTGGTTTATAAACATA